TAAATAAAGGTCTGTGTTTATGCCAAAGGCTGGTCTTATGTATACACGCTCAAAAAAGATGGTTCTTTAAGAGTTCTCTAGTAAAGGCAATGGTTCTATTTAAACCCTGAGTTCTATATGGAACCATTTCATGCTTAAATGGTTCTTTGCAGAGTGGAGAATGTGTTATATATGGTTCTACATAGCACGAAAAGGGTTCTTGTATTGTTCCAAACTTGACATCATAATAGCAAAACCATTTTTGGTGCTATATAGAACCATTTTCAAAAAGGTTTCATACAGAACTGTGTACAACACATTCTCCATCAATCTGAAGAACCGTTTCACCATGCAAAGAATCATTTAGGCAGGAACTGGTCCTATACAGAACTCATGGTTCTAAACAGAATCATTGCTTTTAATAAAAACCCTTGAAGAACCATCTTTTTTAAGTGTGACTGGATATATTATCATAGGTCTGAACATCAACTACCACTCTGGCCCACTGTTAGCTAAACTAGCACCTAGCAACACAACTGAACCACTGAGCTGGTTACATAAATACCTATAACCCATTAACAGTGTATCTTCATTATACATAATTAAAGCTGGGAACACTTATCAAATTACTTAGTACACAAAGAATGTTATGGTCTGGACTCATATTCGAATGGTCTCCGATCTAGAAATCTGATTAAGAAATCTGATAGAGAGGCTGGATTTTAGCTCAGTAATCAGATTTCTCAGTGCATGTAAACTCTTACTCTGATTTCTATCGGATTTCTCAGTCTGCGCACGCGTGAGAACAGACGGTGGATGTCACGAGATGGCAGCAAAACACTGTAGAGCGACGAGAAATACGAAATAAAGGATTTGAATATTCTTCATCTTCTAGATCATTTATGTTTATATTTTCAGGTAAAGCAGCGCGATGTTTTAAAAAAAGCCACGGTATGAAGTTTGAATTTTACATTGCATTTAGGTCACGTCTTCTTCTGTGAGTTTACTGGTTGATTGCAAAGCAGAAATCTGAGAACTGACTCATGTAGACCCGGAGTTTCCCATTATCTGATTACTCAACTGCACGTAAACGTGTTGATCGGATTACTGACAAAATCTGCAGTTATCAGATTATTGAGTGCATATAAATGCACTCAGTAATTTACCAATGTTCTTCTTTTTAAGCTTTCGGTGCTGTTGATCTGACAGTCTTGCAGGTGGTTGTTGGGAGTAGCATTTTCTACAGACGTCCAGAGAGGCCAAAAGCTGTTGCTATAATATTCTGGATTGGTGACTTGAGATAATCAGCTAATTATCTTGTGATCTCACGATAACAACTTTCTAATGTCCTCAGAAATATCTCCTAAAAATTTTCTCCTGAAAAATGAATAACTTTTCGGGCCGTTTTGACTGAAAGTGAAACAAATGTTTTCTTTCCATGGCTGTTCATAATTGAGTTTCAGTGCAACAATAGCGAAATACACTCAACCTCATGGTTTAAACCAGTCCTAGTAGTTTTCTACACTGAAGAAAGTGACATATTGAAAATACTTGATTCAAATGTGTACAAAAGAATAAAATATCACAATGACGCAGCTCTGTTTTTCAATTTACTTGCTGTCGGAAATAACGGTGTTGGTGTAATATATTACATTAATGTGGAAATGTTGTACACATTTGGATCAAGTAATTTCAGCTTTGTCCAGTGTGGTGAGTATAAGGCGTATCTATGTTATATTTGTCTATCACTGAAGAAAACACTAAAAGGATGTTGTAAGAGTCCATGTTTTCTGTCAAACACTGTACAGAAAGTGTAAGAAGGCCAGTGTAACGCACTTCTCCACTGAAATTCTGAGCCCTGTGATCTCAAAACATCTTATAGTGAAAAACTCCAACAGCAGGATCTCATATAATCATAATAAGCTCAGAGCGATGTGAGCTTTTGCGTTCCTGATGTTGCTGGTGGAGCTGAGAGCTGAAGCGCTCCTCTCTCAGCTCTGCTGTTAGTGTGACGTCAGAGTCTTCACTGCCTTAAAGAGCAGCAGCAGCAGAAACAGCTGAACTTTCCCACCGGGTAAGTCACACTCAGCCAAAGCACATCTCTCTCTCTCTCTCTCTATTTCTCTCTTACCCTTTTTCTTTCTTTCCCTTCTTTCTTTCTTCCTCTTTGTTTCTCTTTATCTTTCCCCTTCTCGTTTTCCCCTTACATTCTCTCTTTATATCGCTCCCTCTTTTTTTTCTCTATTTTTTCCTGTTTCTTTTTTTCCTTCTCTCTATTCTTCTTCTCCTTTCTTTCCTTTTGTCTCTCCCTCTTTTTTCGCTTTCACTGTCTTTCTTTTCCCTCTCTCCCTTTTACATTCTCTCTTTCATGTCTCACTTGTTTTCTCCCTCTTTCTCTCTTCTCTCTCTCTCTTTACATTTCTTTCTTTTCTCTCTCTCTCATTTCTGTCTCTCTCCCTCACTAGCCCATTCTTTCTCTCTCTCACTCCCTCTTTCACTCTCTCTTTCTCTCTCTCTCTCTTTCTCCCTCTCTCTCTCTCTCTCTCTCTCTGAACTCATGATGAGTCCTATACAGAAGTGATGCTCAGAGACAGAATTACACATTTTCTGGAATTAACCACAGACGGAGCTCAGAGCCGCAGGCGAACTCACTATTCTATTCTAATACTGTGTGCGCTGAGAGGAATTAAGCGGTGTGGGGAAATCACTGGAATACCTACTGCACAGGATGCGTGTGTGTTTACTGACTCACCCGAACACTCACTCTGAGTGATTCTTGGATGAGGCAGTGCGGTGCCCTCATTTATCTTACTGAAGTACAGAAATGATCATTACATCCCCAATTAGATCCACCTCGTCTTCCGTAAGGATCCAACCAATCAGAAAGCCTGTATGACAGTCTCCTCATCTTACTCACAACTCATCACACTTGTTGAAATGCCAAAATGGCATCTGTCACATACAGTCGATTACCATGGACATCCTTTTCCCTTTACTAGGAAAAGAACAAAGAACCTGTAGTCCTCGGAAGTGCATCATGCCCATGTTAGGGCAGTCTGGGTCTATGGGAAAAATGAATGGCGTTATTTAATGCAGTAATGTTTCAAACCGGATATGTTTTGCTGTACATACGTTTTTCCACTGAATGTCACTGGATCCTCTGAATTATGAAGTTGTTTAGCAGTCGAAAGCTAAGACTCCTGCACACTAGAAGTAAGTCTAATTTTAGGCATCACCGCTATTATATAACATCACCATCTACTCGAACTCTAGACTACTACTGCCAAAGCAACTTAACTACCAAATTTGGCAAAGCTTGCTGGTTTGTTAGGGGTATTCTGATCAGGCTGCCAGTCTTATGATGTCAGTTCAATGTTCAGCAGTGTTAGCATATAGCAATATTTGTATTTTGGCTCCTTAATGACCTCATAATTTCATAAGATCCAGCAACGTAGGCACAGCAAAATGTATTCACCATTCGTTTTTCCCAAAGAGAAAACAAGTTTAGACTCAGAGTTCCTGATATGGGCATGATTCCCACCACACAATGACGACTTCAGAGTTCTATAGACTTACAATAGAAGTCAAATGGCTGAGCTTTCAGCTTCAGTTTCTGCTTCAGCAGCTGCTCATTGGGTTCTACTAAAAGTGCTGCAAGTCAACAGGTCATTTGTTTTTTTACTAAGTAGAAGGAAAATGTGTTGTAGTGATTGTCTGTGATACACTCTCAAAAAAGATAGTTCTTCAAGGGTTCTCTAGTAAAGACAATGGTTCTATACAGAACCATGAACACTCAAAACACCATTTGCATGTTTAAATGGTTCTTCAGATCCATGGCAAATGCGCTGTATATGGTGCTATACGGCACCAAAAAGCGTTCTTCTATTATTACAATGTCAAGCTTATAACAATAGAAGAACCCTTTTTGATGCCACACAGAGCCATTTAGAATCAATTCTCCGTCAGTCTGAAGAACCATTTCATCATGCAAAGAACCGTTTAAGCATGAGTGTTCATGGTTCTATATACACTCTTTAAAAAGACGGTTCTTCAAGGCTTCTTTAGTAAAGACAGTGATAATATAGAGGAAAGAACTATTTGCAAGCTTAAACGGTTCTTTGCACGGTGAAGTGGTTCTCCAGATGGATGGAGAAGGTGGTGGTTCTGAATGGTTCTATATAGCACCAAAAAGGGTTCTCTTTTTGTTACAAGCTTGACATCATCACAATAGTACGACCCTTTTTGCTATACAGAACCATATACAACACACTTTCCATGGATCTGAAGAACCTTTCCCCATGCAAAAAACCATTTAAACATGCAAATGGTTCCCTGAGTGTTCATGGTTCTATACGGTGCAATATAGAACCATTTTCAAAAAGGTTTTACCATTTCAGCATGCAAATCTTGTTCTTTGAGAGTTCTACTCAGTGGTTCTACTGTCTTTACTCAGGAACCCTTGAGTGTAACTGACTATGCTATATCCGCTTCAGATGGACATTATTGGAGTATTACTTTGAACATTTCAGAAGTGGCCTAACAGGTACTTAAAAATGACCAGCTGCTTTCTCTATGCGTTATAACTCATACCAGTGGTGGCCTAAAAGAGCCAATGGAAAGTGGGCAGAGCACGGACCCCAGAGCGCGCGCATTAAATAAGGCATGGCCATTAGCGAGAGTGAAGCAGGCTTGCAGGAATAAAGTCCCTCCGCTCGACTCCCGGGCTGATTACTAATTCAGAGGGCAGCGCAGCAGCGCGAAGAACGCAACAAACTAGCATTTATAGCAGCAGCTCGACGCGGTAAACGACGTTAATGTGGATAAGAAAGGTGTTTCCGGCGAACGAGGACGCTTGAGAGTCAGTTCGGTAGTTTTGTCCCGCGCGGTTTGCCGAGGACGCTCGTGCGTAACGGCTGTGCCAAAACGCGTCAACTTGCAATGCCAGACTCGCAAACCTGCGTTTCCACCTGTGAATCTAAACCTCACAGACTGTATCTAAAGACGGATCTACAGAGACTCACCTCGCGCCATCAGAGTGACGAGGAAGAGGAGGAGAAAGAGGAAGAAAGTGCGTCTCCCCGCACGAGGCATCCGTCTCTCCGCACGCGAGCGAACAAAGTGAATAAAAATGATTAAAAGAGAAATAAACAGAGGGAAAGAGCGCGAGAGAGAAAGAGAGAAGCAGTGGAAAGGAGTAGGGATCCCGGGCTGTGAGCGCGCGCTGAATGCGCGTGAAGGAAGGAGTGTTAGGCCCCGCCCACCGAACACGAACATGGGTCTTAAAAAGGAACTCTAGCGATTTTTCAAAAGTTCTACATAATTAAATGATTAAACAAAGTCATTCAGAGTGGTTTGGTGTGAAAAGCTCCGTTCTAGATAAACTTGGAGTCAGAATAGTTCACTGTGGTGGTGATAGGAACCAGACGTCCACCTCTGAAAGCTCCCTCACTGAGAGTTTTTACATCAAGTTAGATTAGGTCAGACATTTTAGTCCATGTATTTGAATCTATTCATAGCGGAGGGATACATGCAGGGTGTTGTAAGGCGAAATAGTCCCCCCCCAAGAAGCTTAGTATTTTCAGAGTCATGACTAGTTTGCCATCATCAATATTATTATAAAAACTGAGACGAGACGTGTGGGTTCACTGGTGGTTTGTATAGTAAATAAATGGCTGTATCTGTGTTGCAGACATGGTGACCCCTGGTTCCTATCAGCACCACTGTAAAGAAATCTGAGTCAGTAGGTTTCCCTGCAATTAACCTCTTCACGTCAACCACTCTGAATGACGCTGTTTACATCTCAAGGACTCACTATTCAAAAATTTTGAAAAAACAGTGGAATTCACCTTGGTGCACGCAGAGGAAACAGCTTCATATAATAAAAACTATTATATAAAATATTATGAGACGGATGTGCAGTATAAACAGAGTGTTTAGTCACTGTGCCAAACCAAGTGGTATTCAGTTTAAATAGACCAGTCCAAGAGCTTTCAGGAGGCGCCTGCATGGTGCATTTCAGACTGTTGTCATTTGACCTTGAGTTTCTTTGCAGTAAAGTTTCTTTAGTAAAGGCAATGATTCTATATAGAACCATTAGTTCCACATGGAACCATTTGCTTGCTTAAATGGTTCTTTGCATGCTGAAATGGTTCTTCTGATTAATGGAGACTGTGTTGTGTATGATTCTATATAGCACCAATCTTGTATGAGTAGAAGAACCTTTTTTGATGCCATGTAGAACCATTTAGAACTAATCAATCTGAAGAACCATTTCACTGTGCAAAGAACCATTTAAGCATTCTGCAGATACAGGTAATACGGGACAGTGGGTTAGGTATTATAGGTCAGTACAAGTTTCTTAAAATATCTTCTATTACCGGGTAGCCCACTAAGTTGTTAACTCTTCCTCCTATAAACTGCTACTTTTGCAGTGGATCATGGGTACTGTAGTTTTTTGTTTTGTTCGACTAAGTTCAAGCCTGCAGTGCAGCACTGCACACTGCTAGCTTGCTTGTGGAAAATGCAGATGAATGCGGGGTTGAACTTTTCCTCAACTGTGCTTTTACAGGAGAGTCTCTGAGGTGAGCTGGCACTAGTGGAGGTCGATGAGGAGGTGCTGGCTGATCTCTAAGAGCCTCCACAACAGCAGCTCTCTGGGTATTGATTGTGTTTTAGCTTCCATTAGAAACACTTGGCTTGACGTTATCAAACAGCGCATATATGAAGTGAAGCGTGAGGCTGCATTAGATGTGCAAACACGGACACATGTCAGAGTATATATATGTAATAATAATATACCCTACATTCCAAAACGTAAATAAATGAAAACAGAATGCAATGATGTGCGAATCATTTAAACCCTATATTAAATTGAAAATAGTACAGACAACATATCAAATGTTGAAATTGAGAAATTTTATTGTTTTTGGAAAATTATATGCTCGTTTTATATTTGATACCAGCAACACGTTTCCAAAAAGTTGGGACAGGGGCATCTTTACCTCTTTGTTTCATCACGTCTTCTTTTAACAAGCATTTGGGAACTGAGGAGACCAACTGCTGTAGTTTTGGAAGTGAAATGTTTTCCTGTTCTTGCTTGATTTAGGATGGCAGCATATGTTGCCCCAAAACCTGTATATATCGTTCACAGATGTGCAAAGTCACCCATTCTATGTGCACTAATGCCCCCCATACCATCACGGATGCTGGCTTTGGAACTGTGTGCTGATAACAAGTCGGATGGTCACTCTCCTCTTTACCTAATTAGCTCTTTTTACACAACTTTGCCAGTCTTTTGTTGCCGCTGCCCCAACTTGTTTGAAATACAATGCAGGCATCAATTTCAAAACAGACATGTATTTTAAAAAATTCTCAGTTTCAACATTTGGTATGTTGTTTTTGTACTATTTTCAATTAAACACAGGGTTTTAAACATTTGCACATCATTACATTCTGTTTTTATTTAGAGTTTGCACAGCGTCCCAACAATTTTGGAAACAGGGTCCTATGTAAGTACCTATATGTAATAATATGTCTCATATGTATTATATATGTAAGCACCTTTATTTAAACATAATACATTCCATATATATTATACATACATACATACGCAAAAGGTACTTTACAAGTCAGAAAAGTCTGTTTTTTTCTGACAAACACACATACATACACACACACACACATGGGCCAGGGGGCTCACATGGCAGCGCAGCTGTTGTTTTCTCTCTAATTATATTGTTTTCACGTCAAATCTTTGCGTTTAGCTCTGTTTACCAGCTCATGCTAACCATGGGCAGAATCCTGATGCGAAAATGATGATATGTTTCAAACACACGCAAACAAAGACACTATAACACTGTCTAAACATGGGCTTTTCTACAGTCAGCACACACACACACACACACACATACACACACACACACACACACACACACACACACATAATCAGACAGTTCAAGCTAAAGCATGCACGCTAATATTGATGACAGTTAATTTAAGCCAGTCACATTAATTAGCCTGATGTCATGTTCATAATGCTAATTATCAGCTATTTGCTTTCATTCATTATTAGCAACATCAGCGTTATAGACTGAAGCATTCCTTTAAAGCTCGGTCTCTATATACACTGTGTACTCCGTTGTGTGTGTGTGTGTGTGTGTGTGTGTGTGCTTGCGTGTATGTGTGTGTGTACACTAGGGGGAGCAGGTGTAGCGACTCAGGGCTCAGGATTCGTCTTTTACTGATTCAGCTGCACATGCACATCTTAGACAAGAATCAGATTCTGGATCACCTGTCTGGGGAAATAAAAAGAAAATTGATTTCTTACAAAAAGAAAATAAATACAGTAAATTAAACGAAAAAGTGTTTGAAATGGGAAAAAAGGCTTCTATATGTAACAGTATAGGTTGTCTTACCAGTAGAAAAACAAAAAAAAATTGGCAGATGTGAAGGTGTAACGTTTTTATTAGTAGTTTTAGTATGACTATTAGTACAAATGTTATTGGCAAGTAATCATCATTAAAATCATGTATATAACTCCCCTGTCAGTGAGGGTTCTGTTCATGATGCTGAAGTGACCTTTTTTATCATTGAAGGTCAGTGGTGTCACTGCATGGACAGCAGCATTTCTTCAAAAGTGAACGCTCATAGTGTCACTGTCCATGGTGCTGAATTCACTGACGTTTCTTCACTAGTGCAGGTCAGTCTGTGTCACTGTCCATGGTGCTGAATTCACTGACGTTTCTTCACCAGTGCAGGTCAGCTGTGTCACTGTCCATGGTGCCGAATTCACTGACGTTCTTCACTTGTGCAGGTCGGTGGTGTCACTGTCCATGATGCTGAATTCAGTGGGCTGTCTTCATCAGTGCAGGTCAAAATGAAATGTTGTCAACACAATCAGTTATTTAAAGTTTGTTTTTTTGTTGACTTTTTTTGTTGTTTTTTTTAACTTTTTTGTTCAAATTAAGAAGACTGTCAGGCTTTCAGCCTTTGAAGGTTGCAACTTAACTGTAACAGTTAACATGTTATTTAAAATGAGTTAAGTAGATGGTTTTGGTGGGATTGGAGAAACAACACTAAAGTTGAAGAAGCAAGGTAAACTTACCAGGTCTGTTCTACAGCTTCAAGTGAGAGAAAGTGTTTGTGTGTGTGTGTGTGTGTGTGTGTGTGTGTGTGTGTGTGTGTGTGTCCACAAGACAAAGTTTAATAGATAAAAAACACAATGCTGCCCCATGACATTGTGTGGACAACATTTCTTAATAGACCAATAGAAATAGTCCAAAATGAATTGCAATAAAATCCTGCAAGATTTATATGAGGTTTTATTTTAATAAAAACAAACAATATAATAAATACACAGTTCTGTGCATAAGTCAGAGATATTTAATTCCATTGTTCCAGAAAACATCTTTAACAGAAAACAGAGGAGCCTCAACAAATAAATATTATATCATGTTTCAGTATTTTACATGTCCACTCTTTGCCTTTATTACAGCTTCTATTCTTACTTTCTTCCAGACCTGCATCCAGTTTGTCAAAGAAATCAGGGATATTTTTTAACACCTCCAAAGTTCAGTTTTAGAAGTTGGTTGTATTTTCTGTCTCTCACAATCCAAATAAACTCAAACACAATTTAGATTTATCAGTCCATAAAAATTTACTCCACATTTCAGATGTGCATGTTCAGTATTCTAGTGCAAATGTCTGCTTCCTTTTCTTGGTAAAAGCTTCTTGTCTGCTACACATCCTTTCAGACTCATAGTGCTGAGTTGTCTTCTCACAGTAGAAGGATGGACAGAAACACCTGTGGATGTTTTCAGATCTGAATCAAGAGTGGAGCTTGACTTTCTCCTCTCTCTCAAAGATGAAAGCTTTAAGTGCTGTTTATCTGATGGAGACAGTTTTGGTATCTACCAGGTCTTGCAGGTGGTTGTTAGGAGTCCTGTTTTCTCTGAAGTTTTTAATCATTTTGTAAACTTCTGTTTTATTCATTCATTGTCCTTTGATTTTCACCTTCCTTATACCTGTGGATTATTTTGTATTTAATCTCCTCTGAAACAGAGAAACAGATGGATTACAGTCTGCAATTGTAGGACCGCAAAGTGCACCTGGTAAGTGGACCTAAGCCTTCACATCCATCATCCAGCTGCAGCCAAGTCACATTTCAGACCATTCAGGAAG